ACACCATAGGTTCCCCACTTAGTGGGGAACCTATGCTTTGCCGTGTTGTGCTATGCTGTGCTACACCATAGGTTTTCCATCAGTGGTGAACCTATGCTTTGCCATGCTGTGCTATGCTATGCTATGCTATGCTACACCATAGGTTCCCCACTTAGTGGGGAACCTATGCTTTGCCATGCTGAGGTATTCTATGCTATGCCATGGTATGCAATGCTATGCTACACCATAGGTTCCCCACTTAGTGCGGAACCTATGCTTCGCCATGCTGTGCTACGCTATGTTATTCTATGCTACGCGATGCTACAGCGTAGGTTCCCCACTTAGTGGGGAACCTATGCTTTGCCATGCTGTGCTATGCTATGCTTTTACTATGTCATGCTACACCATAGGTTTCACTTAGTGGGGAACCTATGTTTTGCCATGCTGTGCCATGATATGTTATGCTACGCTATGCTACACCATAGGTTCCCCACTGAGTGGGGAATCTATGCTTTGCCATGCTGTGCTATGCTATGCTATGCCATGCTACACCATAGGTTCCCCACTTTGTGGGAACCTGTGCTTTGTCATGCTGTGCTATGCTATTCGATGTCATGCTAGGGAGTTGTCGTCCCGTAGCTCCCTGGCAGCGCTCAAGGGAGTCGTCGGCCTTGTCGTCGTCGTCGCCGTCGTCGTCGTCGTCGTCGTCCCGGGGCTCCTTGTGAGCGCTCAAGGGATCTGTCGTGGTCGTCGTCGTCGTCGTCCCAGGGCTTAGCTATGCTATGCTATGCTACGCTATGCTACACCATAGGTTCCCCACTTAGTGGGGAACCTATGCTTTGCCATGTTGAGCTATCCTAAGCTGTTTATGCTATGTTATGCTATGCTACACCATAGGTTCCCCACTTAGTGGGGAACCTGTGCTTTGCCATGCTGCGCTATGCTATGCTATGCTATGCTACGCTATGCTACAGCATAGGTTCCCCACTTAGTGGCGAACCTATGCTCTGCCATGCTGTGCTATGCTATGCTATGCTTTGCTACACCATAGGTTCCCCACTTTGTGGGGAACCTATGCTTTGTCATGCTGTGCTACTACTCTATGTCCTATGCTAGGGAGTCGTCGTCCCGTAGCTCCTTGGCAGCGCTCAAGGGAGTCGTCGGCCTTGTCGTCGTCGTCGCCGTTGTCGTCGTCGTCGTTGTCCCGGGGCTCCTTGTGAGCGCTCAAGGGAGCTGTCGTGGTCGTCGTCGTCGTCGTCGTCCCAGGGCTTATTGGGAGCGTTCAAGGGAGTCGTCGTCGTCGTCGTCGTCGTCGTCGTCGTCGTCGTCGTCGTCGTCGTCCCGGGGCTTCTGGGGAGCCGTCAGGGGAGCTGGCGTGGTCGTCGCAGTCGTCGTCGTCGTCGTCGCGGTGCTCCTTTCGGAGCGCCCAATGGGCCCCGGGGCTCTTGGGGAGCGCTCGAGGGAGTCGTCGTCGTCGTCCTCGTCGTCGTCGTCGTCGTTCGTCGCCCCGGGGCTTCTTGTGAGCGCTCAACTGAGCTGACGTGGTCGTCGTCGTCGTCGTCCCTTGGTTTAGTGGGAGCGCTCAAGGGGATCGTTGTCGTCGTCGTTGTTGTCGTCGTCGTCCCGGGGCTCCTTGGGAGCTCTCAAGGGAGTCGTCGTCGTCGTCGTCGTCGTCGTCCTGGGGTTCCTTGGGAGCGCTCAAGGGATCCGTTGTGGTCGTCGTCGTCGTTATCCCGGGACTTTTTTGCTCGCAACGGAGTCGTCGTCGCCGTCGTTGTCGTCGTCGTCCCGGGGCTTCTTGGGAGTTATGCTATGCTATGCTATGCTATGCTACACCATGGGTTCCCTACTTAGTGGGGAACCTATGCTTTGCCATGCTGTGCTATGCTACCCCAATGCCACACCATAGGTTCCCCACTTTGTGGGGAACCCATGCTTCGCCATGGTTTGTCATCATATGGTATGCTATGTACACCATAGGTTCCCCACTTTGTGGGGAACCAATGCTTTGCCATGCTGTGCCATGCTATTTTATATGCTATGCTACACCATAGGGATCCCGTTCAGTGGGGGAATTTATGTTTTGCCTGAGCACCTCTATGCTACGCTGTGCTAGCCACTATGGCATGTTACATTAAATGTTCCTTCCATTGGGGATCCTATGCTTTGCCATGCTATGCTACACGACAGGTTCCCTACTTAGTGGCGAACCTATGCTCTGCCACTGTGCTATGCTATGCTATGCCATGCTATGGTACACCATAGGTTCCCACTAGTGGCGAGCCTAAGCGTTGCCACGCTGCTTCTACGCTATGCTAAGCTATGTTATGTTATGCTACGCTATGCTACACAATATGTTATTTTAATGGGGAACCTAATTCATTTATGGTATGTTATTTCTATGTTTTCTGCACCACAGGTTCCACTTAGTGGGGAACCTATGTTTTGCCATGCTGTGCTACGATATGCTATGCTACGCTATGCTATACATAGGTTCCCCACTTAGTGGGGAACCTATGGTGTAGCATAGTTGGGCTATGCTATGCTATGCTATGCTGCAGCATAGGTCCCCCACTTTGTGGGGAACCTATGCTTTGCCTTGCTGTGATATGCTATGCTATGCTACGCTATGCTACACCATAGGTTCCTCACTTAGTGGGGAACCTATGCTTTGCCCTGCTGTGCTATGCTATGCTATTACTATGTTATGCTACACCATAGGTTCCCCACTGAGTGGGGAACCTATGCTTTGCCATGCTGTGCTATGCTATGCTATGCTACGCTATGCTACACCATAGGTTCCCCGCTTAGTGTGGAACCTATGTTTTGCCATGCTGTGCTATGTATGCTATGGTATGCTATGCTACACCATATGTTCCCCACTTAATGGGGAACCTATGTTTTGCCATGCCGAGCTATTCTATGTTGTTTATGCTATGATATGGTATGCTACACCATAGGTTCCCCACTTAGTGGGGAACCTATGTATACATGCTGCGCTATGCTATGCTATGCTACGCTATGCTACACCTCAGGTTCCCCACTTAGTGGGGAACCTATGCTTTGCCATGGTGTGCTAGGCTGTGCTATTCCTGCGTCATGCTACACCATATGTTCCCCACTTAGTGGGGAACCTATGGTTTGCCATGCTGTGCCATGATATGCTATGCTACGCTATGCTACACCATAGGTTCCCCACTTGGTCGGGAACCTATGCTTTGCCATGCTGTGCTATGCTATGCTATGCTATGCTACACCATAGGTTCCCATCTGTGTGGGAACCTATGCTTTGCCGTGCTGTGCTATGCTATGCTATGTTACGCTATAACCTATGCTTCGCCGTGCTGTGCTATGCTATGCTATGCTACGCTATGCTACACAAGAGGTTCCTCGCCTAGTGGGGAACCTATGCTTTGCCATGCTGTGCTATGCTATGCTATTACGATGTTATGTTACACCATGGGATCCCCACTTAGTGGGGAACCTATGCTGTGGTATGCTATGCTATGCTACGCTATGCTACACCATAGGTCTCCACTTAGTGGGGAACCTATGTTTTGCCATGCTGTGCTATGCTATGCCCGCGGTATGCTATGCTACACCATAGGTTCCCTACTTAATGGGGAACCTATGTTTTGCCTTGGTGAGCTATTATGTTTCATGCTATGCTATGGTATGCTATACCATAGGTTCCCCACTTAGTGGGGGGATCTATGCTTTGCCATGCTGCGCTATGCTATGCTATGCTACGCTATGCTACACCCTAGGTTCCCCACTTAGTGGGGAACCTATGCTTTGCCATGCTGTGCTATGCTATGCTTTTACTATGACATGTACACCATAGGTTCCACTGAGTGGGGAACCTATGGGTTGCCATGCTGTGCGAAGATATGCGATGCTACGCTATGCTACACCATAGGTTCCCCACTTGGTGGGGAACCTATGCTTTGCCATGCTGTGCTATGCTATGGTATGCTACACCATAGGTTCCCCACTTAGTGGGGAACCTATGCTTTGCCATGCTGTGCTATGCTATTATATGCCCTATGCTGGGTAGTCGTCGTCCCGTAGCTCCTTGGCAGCGCTCAAGGGAGTCGTCGGCTTTGTAGTCGTCTTCGCCGTCGTCGTCGTCGTCGTCGTCGTCCCGGGGTTCCTTATGTTCCTTGCATTGGGGGTCCTATGTTTTGCCATTGTACTACGCTTTGCCATGCTATGCTACACCACAGGTTCCCTACTTAGTGGCGAACCTATGCTTTGCCACTGTGGTATGCTATGCTATGCTATGCTATGCTACACCATAGGTTTCCACTAGTGGCGAGCCTAAGCGTTGCCACGCTGCTTCTACGCTATGCTAAGCTATGCTATGCTAAATCATAGGTTCCCCACTTGGTGGGGGTTGGGTACCTATGCTTTGCATGGTGTGCTTAGCTATGCTATGCCATGTTATGCTCTATGCCTCACCATAGGTTCCCCAGTTAGTGGGGAGCCTATGCTTTGCCATGCTGTGCTATTCTATGCTATGCTATGCTATGCTACAACATAGGTTCTTCACCTAGGGGGGGAACCTATGCTTTGCCATGCTGTGCTATGCTGTGCTACGCTATGCTACGCTATGCTGTTCTACATTGTAGGTTCCCCACTTGGTGGGGAACCCATGGTGTGTCCTCGCTGTCTTTTGCTATGTTTCACGATGGGATGCTGTTACGCTTCATCAGTCCACTCTGTGTGAATTTTGTTTTGCTATGCGGAGCTCTGTTCGGCATTATGCTGTGCTACATCATAGGGTCTCCACTCTGTGGGATAATTATTGTTTGTTGCTTTGCTATTCTATGCCATTGTTTGGTTGCGTTGGTCATGCCATGCTATACTATTCTTCCTACTATAGGTTTGATTTTGTTCTGGCAGAATGAGATAGATGTTTCAGAAGAATGTTCATCCACCGTAATTCTCTGGCGAGGCTCGGAGCGGGCTCGTGCATCCCCGCCGGCTGACAGACGGCCTCTTGCGCACCGGGTCACGCTATGTCATGCCGTAAGCGCCCAGCGGCTGCGCTCTCCGCGCTCCCGCGTATTGATGACGTGGGGCGTCATGCGCAAGCTGTTCGGGACATCGTGACTGACCATCCGGATTGGGGCTATAGGCGTGTTGGCGCTCGGCTCGGCGAGCTCCTGCACGTGACGCTGGAGGAGTCCGATTATCGGCAGGTGCTGCGGCTGCAGAAGGCGGAGCCGGTTGCATCTGCTGCCTATCGCAACGGTTGGCCCGACTTTTCCGGGAACGTGCGTGACTACGTGGACTCTATCCAGGAGCTAGTGGCCTCTCATCCGGAGTTGGGTTACTGGTCTATCGGGCGCAGGCTTGAGCAAAAGCTCTGCGTGAGGCTATCCATTGCCAACCTGAAGGTTATCGATCGCATCATGCAGGAGCTGTCTGAGGGTCGCGCCGCGGTGGGCGCGCCGCAGTTGGAGGAGTTCATTGGGAACGTGCGGGATCACGCAGCCGACTTTTGCGGGAACGTGCGTGATCACGTGGACTCTATCCAGGAGCTAGTGGCCTCTCATCCGGAGTGCAGTTACTGGTCTATCGGGCGCATGCTTGAGCAGAAGCTCTGCGTGAGGCTATCCATGGCCAACCTGAAGGTTATCGATCGCATCATGCAGGAGCTGTCTCAGGGTCGCGCCGCGGTGGGCGCGCCGCAGTTGGAGGAGTTCATTGGGAACGTGCGGGATCACGCAGACTCTATCAGAGCACTCGTGGCGGCTCACCCTGGCATGGGGTACTGGGGCATTTCGAAGGAGTTCGAGAAGCACATCCGGTTGAGACTATCCCCTGCCCACATGCAGACAGTGAGGCGCATCGTGGACGGCATCTCGCAGGCCCGTGCTGCGCCGAGCACGCAGCGGGATACGGACAACTATGAGGTTGCCTCTGCGGACGTGCGCGACCACGCTGCCACCATCATGGAACTCACGACGCGTCACCCAACCATGGAATATCATGGCATCGCAGTCGAGCTCGAGAAGGTGCTTGGGGTGGAGCTATCTCAGAGTCAGAAGGAGGGCATCTCTTCTGTCATGGCCGAGATCAGCATCGACCTCGTCACCGACGACGAGGCTATGCCAGAGGAGTCGGAGGTCGGCGATATATTTTCTGGCAGCGTGCGTGATCATGTGGGTTCTATCAAGGAGCTTATGGCCTCTCATCCGGATGATGGGTATAGGTCTATCGGAAGCATGCTTGGGCAGAGGCTTGGCGTGAAGCTATCCACCGCCCACTTGCAGGTGATCTATCGCATCATGAAGGAGCTGTCGGAGGGTCGTGCGGTGGAGCCGGACTGGGGGGAGTTTTCCGGGGACGTGCGGCATCACGTTGATTCTATCAGAGCACTTGTGGCGCTTCACCCTGGCCTGGGCTATAAGGGCATTGCGCATGAGCTCGGGCAGCACATTCGGCAGAATCTATCTCAGGCTCATGTGAAAGTTATCAAGCGCATCGTCGATGGTATTTCTCGGGGCCGTGCTGTCTCGCAGCGGGCGCTTTCTGACTGCGCGGAGGGCGCAGTGGACGTGCGGGACCACGTGGAGACTATCGAGGAGCTCATGATGCAGGACCCGAGCCTGGACTATCAGGGTATTGCCCGTCAGCTCGAGGACAAGTTGCAGGTGCAGCTATCTGATGGTCTGAAGCAGGCAATATGTGGACTGATGGCCCAGATCGGTATCCACCTTCTGGCTGATGATAAGTCTGCGCCAGAGCCATTGGATATCGAGGCTTTTAACGGGGACGTGCGGGAGCACGTGGATGCTATCCGTGATCTTGTCGCTTATCACCCGGACTCCGGGTGCAAGGTTATCGGCAGCGTGATGGGGGAGCAGCTCGGAGTCAGGCTACAGTACGCCCACCTCCAGGTGGTCCACCGCGTCATGACTGAGCTCGCCGAGGGCCGCGCCGCGGTGGGCGTCGCTATTCGACAGCAGCCTGAGCGCCAGAACTATCTTGTCTTTACTGGCAACCTGCGGGGGCACTCGGGCGCTATCAGGGAGCTACTGACGCTGCATCCCACCGCTGGTCGGGGTTTCATCCTTCGCGAGCTGGGGTTTCTCATCGGGCGGTCGCTATCTGTCCGCCATGAGGCGGTTGTTCGGCGCATTATGATTTCGTGTAGTTCCATGCCCTATGAGTTCCTCTGCGGCCCTGAGCAGGCGCCCGTTGCGCAGCAACTTGTGGGTTAGCACACCAACGACACCAAGCGGCTGTATTAATTATATCTCAAGCGGGCTTGTGTTGGGAATGGACCGAGGCCGTGTGGCAGCTTTCTCAGCTACCTCCGCGTCCATAAACTTGCGGATGGGGACCACAACAGGGTCATCGAGCGCAGAGGACGTGGTGATGACTCCCGCGTGGCGGTGGGCGTCCGCTATGCATTTGAGATGCAGGATAATTTCATCGGCCAGTTCTGCACTATGATGTTCCCGCACGGGGCCCCTGGCACTTTTGTTCCTCCATTAGACAGCGATCCCGAGCTCATCCCCTTCACGAAGCACTATCTCAAGGCTGTGAAGTACCTGCGGCACCTCGTGTGCCTGAAGGGCACGCGTCCTGCTTGCGAGCAGTCTATCCGCCGGCAGGTGCAGGCCATGCTGCCGCGGGAGGCCGGGGACGCAGAAGAAGTTTATGATGCACGCGTTCTGTCGAAGATGCAGAGTACTCGTTGGGTAGGCTTCGCCACGGAGGCCAATCGTATCGCCGATCTGTGCGACGCTTCCGTGGAGTCTATAGGTAATCGTCTTCATGAGTATAGCTGGGAGCCCTTCGACAGTTGGCCCTGGCGCCCACCGCGTGACTCCGACTCCGAGGACGCGCCTGTCCGCCCGGGAGTTCAACTGTTCCATCCTCTGAGATGTGCTGACGACGCTGAGGGCGCCCATGGTAAGCCTTTCCACTGCGTCGACGCGGCGCTTGAATACCTCGAGGACGTGGTTGGCGCGGATCTGCGCATCCGCGTGTCTCTCGGGCGTGCACTGTCGTTCCGGGCGCGGCTCCATGCCGCGCACGTCTACTTTAACCACATGCAGTTCTGCTTTGATCATCCCGAGGCTATCCCGCCGGATGTTCGCCGCAGGGCTGACTGCCTGTTGCCGGACAGGCAGAACCGATACTACGAACAGTGTAAGAAAGAGTGGAGGAGATGTCAGGCGCATGCGCGGCCTCGCATCACATGGTCTGCAGACCAGCAGGAGGTGCTGAAAGTGGTAGACGGTGTGCTATCCCGAGCCGACGCCAACATCGTGCAGCAGCAGTTCTACTATGTGAACGGGGGGCCAGGCAGCGGCAAGACGGAGGTCCTCTGCGAGGCTGCCCGCCGGGCCGCGGACGCTGGTCTCCAAGTCCTGATTCTCGGTCCCACGGGCACTCTGGTGCACACCTATAAGACCAAGGTTCAGCACGACAACATCAACGTGGAGACTATACATTCCGCGTGGCACATCTATCGCAGGGCCGACACTGTTGTGGACTATGCGCCGCCGTCGCGCTTGCGCACCTATGATCTATTCATCATCGCCGAGGCGTCGCAGATCGAGGACGACGTGGCCGTCCGCTTGCACAACGGCTTCAGGGAGTTGCCGCAGCGGCCCACTATCTTCTTTGCTGCGGACTTCCAGCAGCTGAATCCGCTCGGTAGTTCGTCGGCTATGCGCACGTGGATCACTGTCATGACCACTATTTCGCTGTTCACTATACATCGGACAAACGATGATCGTCTACTATCTTTTCTGCGAAATGTCCGGGTGATGCAGCCGAGCAAGGCAGTTATCCGGGCCTTCTTCGCTGGGCGTACGTGGGACTCTATCAGCTTGGAGCAGGCCGTGCGGAGGGGCATGCATCTCGGCGCTATCCGCGATGAGCCCTTCCACTGGCTCACCGTGACCAACGAGGGGGCGGAGGCTGTGAATCTTGCGTGTCTATCGGCGTGCGGCTACGACAAGCCTGAGAACCTATCGCCGCTCTGCGGTGACCTCAAGGTGCTATACCTCGAATGGGTTGTCGGGGGATGGCCTGGGCATTTCGCGGCATGCCCATGTATCGGCCATGCGTCTGGCTGTCTATCCTTCATGGAATGATAGCTGCTGTTCACGTCGCTGATGCATCGGTGTGCTCAGTTCTGTCCTCACTGGGCCGTCCTGCCGGACACTCGGGGGAGGCTATTCTAGGTATCTGGCCCGCAGCGTTTATTTATCGCGCCTGGCGTCGTTGTTCGGCTCACGCGGAACCTCGACAAGGAGCGGGGCTTCGTGAACGGCTCCACTGGCACTATCGATGTTGTACTGGAGAATAAGTCTACCTTTACGGTGACCCTCACGGGCACCAAGCACCGTATCCTCGTGCACCGTATCACAGACGGCGGTGACTTCTTCCTGCCGTGCACCTACGGCTATGCCACCACCATCCGCAGGGCTCAGGGATCTTCCCTCGGGCTTGGTGCGCTATACTTCGATCATTGCTATCCCCCCGAGCGGGGCTATGGCTACGTGGGTGCCAGCCGTTTCAGATTCGCTGAGCGCGTCTATCATTTTGGGTGCATCCGGCGAACGGACTGGCTTCCAGTCAGCATGAAGCGAGATGGCCCGGATGAGCAGACTAGGAGGTCCGCTCAGAGCGACTCTGATGACGAGTACGGGCCTATGCCAGATGACAGCGACACGGGTTCCGAGGCTGGCAGTGGTTCTGACTATCCTTCTTCTGAAGAGGACGACGAGTCCCGGCGCGCTATCCTCGAGCAGATGGCTGCATTTTCTGGGGCATGCGACTTGGCAACTTTCGCGGGGTCCTATGTGGCTGCTTGATTGTTTTGTCTGCACCCTATGCGTCGTTATCAAAATCATCTTCGCGTTGAGTTGCTTCTGCCTGCGACGAACTGCTAACCCACACCACGACGACGAGCTACCAGCAGGAAATGGTATGTGATGAGGACGGGCTGTGACGACGATGACGACGACGCTCGACTGTCGATGTGTGTGTGTGCGCAGTGCACTTCATCAGCTGGCATTTTCGTTGCATCAGGCTTGTGAGCGGTCTATGCTATGCTATGCTATGCTATGCTATGCTACACCATAGGTTCCCCACTTAGTGGGGAACCTCTGCTTCGCATGCTGCGCTATGCTATTCTATGCTACGGTATGCAAGGGAGTCGTCGTCCCGTCGCTCCTTGGCAGCGCTCAAGGGAGCGTCGTCTCGTCGTCGTCGCCGTTGTCGTCGTCGTCGTCGTCGCCCCGGTGCTCCTTGTGAGCGCTCATCGTCGTCGTCGTCGTCCGGGTCACCCGGAGACGCTCCAGAGCCGTCTCCGGGTGATCCGGAGATGGCTCTGGAGCGTCTCCGGGTCACTCAGGTCTCTGCTATCGTAGCCGTGTGGTTTGCAGGTGGCGTTGCATTTGTGCTATCACCCTCACCATGTCGTCCGGGGGTGGCGACTGGCACCCGCCCTATGATAGGACCGCCATGATTGAGTTGTTCGACCTTGAGCTATGTCCGTTCGTGCACTGCCTTCGAGTTGGCTGGCCTACTGACATTGACGACGACATGGTTCAGCGTGCTATCAGACAGTGTGTCATGCTGAACCAATTTCTTGAAACAGTTCCGGTGGGCGATTCGGACCGCCAGCGCATCTATGAGTGGCTATTTCCGTTTGTGCCCCCTGAGCAGTCCAGCTGGCTTGTCGTGTCTTTTTTGAACGTGTTGAAGTATGTTCTCATCAGCATGAGAAGCCGCTATGCCTCTATCTTGGCATGTGCTATGATTTCTCAGTTGTATCGAATGGACAAGCCTCACGCCGCGGCGGGCATGGTCTTGCAGGGCTTTTTGAGTTATATCCAATACCACGGCACTCTATCGTGGAAGCAAATGGTGAACATCTGCCAACAGTCTATGCCTGACGGGCGTTTGACTATCCAGGGCGCCGTGCAGTGGCTCTGTCGCACGCGCGATATCAATCGCCAGCCGACTATTTGCGTTCACTTCCTCGATTTTGTTAATTTAGATGGCATGTCTCCGCCGCAGCAGCCCCCCTATGCCACCGAGTGAGGCTATGTGCTGTCTTTCCTTCCTTCCCATTTCTAATCTCAGAGCATGCTGCTATCAGCGGGGTCTGCATTCGCGCTCTTCCTTTCGTTGTTCTATGTATAATGTACTCGGGTTCTTCCATGCTGCGCTACGCTCTGCTACCCAGTGCTATGTTCCACCATAGGTTCCCCCTCTAGTGGGGAGCCTGTTTTCCATTGTGGTCTGCTATGCTATGCTATGCCATGCTATGCTACATCATATGTTCTTCATTAGTGGGGAACCCATGTTTGCCATGTTCATTATCTATGCTGGCGTATGCTATGCTATGCTACACCGTAGGTTCCCCACTTGGTGGGGAACCCATGCTTTGCATGCTGTGCTTACCTACGCTACGCTATGCTATGTTCTGTGCCACAGCAACCTATGCTCGTATGCTTTTGCCCTTTTGCTATGTTTGGGTATGCTACGCTATGCTGCACCATAGGTTCCCCACTTCGTGGGGAATCTCTGCTTTGCCATGCTGCGCTATGCTATACTATGCCATGCTACGCTATGCTACACCGTAGGTTCCCCACTTAGTGGGGAACCTGTGCTTTGCCATTTGTGCTGTGCTATGCTACGCTCCTATGCTTTGTCTTGTGCTAGGATATGCCATGTCTCGCAGTGTGAAGCTCTCCCGCGTGTGTCTCCGGTATAGTCGGAACCTTTCTCTGCTATGCTGCGCCATGATCTGGCCATTCTATGCGTCCGTTGTTTTGCTATACAGTGTGCATGGTCTGCCATTGTGCTATGCTGAGTTGTTCCTGCCATGGTATGCTATCCGCCCCATGCGCCTTGGATCGCCCCATGTACGTATATACCTTTCCGTACTTTGTTCCTGTGTGCTTCCGCTCCTATACCCTATCCTCTCCTTGTCCCCGCTGGACTATTTGAACGACCCCACTTGGGGTCTCCGCTGTCGTTTCATTGTACAGCGTTGATTATTTTCGGTGTCATTCCATATTAGCACCTCGCTATCTATGACCGATGCCACTGCTGGCCTCGCAAAGAACGTGGTTGCTCTCGTTCCTCTTTCGTCCCTTCGCTCTCAGCGTCCGTTTACACTATTGCGACTCTTATATCATGATCTTTGGCATGGCATTCCATAGAACTATGTTTTTATTTCTACGATGTCGATTGTTGTCCATGTGCCATTTTCTGTGCACATGCGCATGCGATGTTTCGATATCTTTCCACGGCGTGTCTCTTCTCAGGCGATTGTCCAGCTTCAACCACTCTATAGTTAGATTATCATAAGTGTTTAGATTCTGAGCTCATTCTATGACGTCATTTCACTTATTGAATCGCTTCGCTCATTCCGCCTGACCATGTTGTAGCGTCGCTGGCACTTGCTGACGTGTTGGGGGAGACATTTGGGTGGCCTGCAGGGGCCGCTTTGGGGGTATCTTGGGGGCCTCCTGAGGGCTTGTTGGGGGCCTCCTGGTGCCTCTTATGGATCTCTTGGGGCCTCCTAGGGACTTCTGAGGGCCGAGGGCTCGACGTGTTGTTTAGTGGCCCCCACCTGGGGCCCCCCTTCTGGTGTTCTAGGGGCGCTCTTGTGTCGTCTTGTAGTTCTTACGCACCGCCTTGGAGCACTCTTGATGACACTGCCATGCGGCTGCTGATCAGGATGTTGGTGATGATGATGATGATGTGATGACGATGATGATGCTGATAGTGATGATGAAGATGATGATAATGAACATAGTGGTGACGACGATGATGATCCTGATGATGATGCTGATAGAGATGAGTCGCTGTCTACATGTACATGTTTGGCATCCCATTTATTTACACAATGTCCCGCCGCTATGCTATAGTAATATCCCGTAGGTCCCCAAAAGGTATCAAATGTATATGCGCGCAGTCTTTTGTTCCTGCTTGCCATGTGCCTATCAGTCACTGTGGCACAGCATTTCTATAAACGTTTCCTGTATCTCCTTTGAGCCTATCGCGCAACCGTGGTATGGCAGCATTGTTCCTGCTTGCCATGTGCCTATCATGCCATTGTGGCACAGCATTTCTATAAGCGTTCCTGTATCTCCTCTGAGCCTATCACGCAACCGTGCTATGGCAGCACAACGTGAGTCTTCCGAGAGTGGGCGCTATCTCTCGGTCGTTTCTTCATTACATATCTGAGGACTATCCCATTGGCCTTATGTAGCAGCACACGTTCTCTGCATATCCCCTGTCCGCGGCAGCGCTTATTTCTATCATGCTCGTTGCCGTTATTGCTTCAGCAGCTATTGTATAAAACTGCCTACTAGGTCCGCCATAAAATGGCAGGGTATCACACAATCACCCTTTTTTTGCCCGCCCCCGCCGCGATGCGCGTGCGCGGCGATCCGAGATGGCGCGCGAGGCGAGGGGCTGTTGAGATGCCCCCCGCGCGCAGTGCACGCTCCGATCGTTCTGTTCCATCTGCCGCAGACTGGCCGGTTGTCTGCCACGGTGGTTTCGCATGCGTCCGTGCTCTGCTCGTTTCTCGGCGGCGAGCGCGCGGGGAGAAGTGAGAAGGAAAAGGCCTTCTCAGAAGGCGGCGGGGCTTCTCAGGGGCTTCCCGCGCTTTCTGAGAAGTTGTGCTGTGTCTCCGGGGAAGGAACAAACAACTTCTCAGAAGGCCCGGGGACTTCCGAGCCGTCTGAAAAGTCCTGCCCCGTCTCACTTCCCCCCCGCGCTTGCCGCCAAGTCTCGTGCGCTCCGTCGAGCGTTCCGAGCTGCGCCGCCACGCGTGCCAAAGCCGGGGGGGCGGAAGATGAGGCGGATATCGGGTTTGGGCTGGCCTCATACTTTGACGCGTCGATCCGTGAATTCGTTGTTTTCGGCTCGCGAGAAGGCGTCACGGCCGTCACTTTTGCGGGTCAGGTCCGTCGGTTTCGGTCCCAGGCCGTTTTCACTACACTGCCGTTTTTTTATACATGCTCCG